TACGTTTGGTTCGGTCTCCGGTGCTTCAGTTGGTTCGATTGAACCAACTAAAGCATCGATGTCAGCCTCCCAACATCCCTCTCACGACTTCCCCAACCCTAACCCTGCTCAAGATTATGCTACTGACATTTCCTCTCTACTGTTGTTGCCTCTCTCCGCTATCGTTGCTTGTCTTTGTTGTCGCTGCTTGTCGTTGTTGTCGCTGCTCGCTGTCGTTGCTGCCATTGTCACTATCGCCGCTCCCGCTCCCGCTCTTGCTACCGCTGCTGCTTCTCTCAATCAGCAGCCTCAGTCTTACTCTTACACCGGTGTTGCTGCTCGCTGCTACCGCTATCGTTGCCGCTACCACTACCGCTGCTTGCCACTATCGTCGCTCCCGCTCCCGCTGCCATTGCCTCTACTATTACTCTTACTCCCTCTACTCACATTGACTCAATAGTATATTGTTAATAGTATATTAACAATATACTAATAACCAAGGTCTACCGTACCGAAGCGTACCGCCCGTATCGGGCGGTACGTACCGGTTCGGTAGGTTACCGGTACGCGGACCGCTCGCTACCGGGCGGTACGCCCCAAAAACCCCCGTATTGGGCGATACGGGGCAAAATAGGGCGGTAACGGTCGAAATTTCGACCGTTATCGCCCGGTACCACTCGGTAACGGTCGATTTCGACCGTTACCGTCTGGCACCACTCGGTAACGGTCGAAATCGACCGTTACCACACAGTAGCAGTGCTACAGTGTTCCAACTATCAATTTGACCGTTGGAGCTTTTTCTCCTCCTATTTAAACCATTCTTCTCTCTCCTATTTCATTATACTCTCTTAAACTCTCTCTCAAACTTTCTTTTTCTTTCCTAAACTCTATAAAACAACGATTTGTGAATTCAATCGAGGCTAATTTAGGAAGATTAAGAGGAATAACTTTCTAATCAAGAGGTTTGTATTCATTTTTTTTAATTAGAGAGTAATTAAGACTATCCTAACTTTTCTAATCAAGAGGTATGTATTCGTTTTCTAATCAAGAGGTATGCATTTGTAACTTGAAAACACTATCTTAACCTTTTTTTTCTAATTTTCAAGTATTTTGGAGGGATAAATCGATAAAATCAGGTGTACCGCTCGGTACACCTCAGTATACCGGTCGGTACACCTCAGTATACCGGTCGGTACACCCGTACCATACCGAGCCCGGGTCGAAACTCCGATACGGTACGGTATGACGGACCTTGCTGTTAACTGTATATTAGTAACAATATTTTTTTATTTATTAGATTAATAATATATTATTTTGATTTTAATACTACTAATTTTTATTTATTTGAAATTATTGTTATTGTTTTGAATTTTGAGATTTTTTTGTTAATATGATATTGTGATTCTATAAGATTTTTTTTAATTTAATATCATATTTTTATTTAAATAATTATATTTATTAATTAATTTATATATTTTTTATATTTTAGCGCCTCGTTTCGTTCGGGCGAGTGCTTAGTGTTTCGGGCGTTTTTGCACCTTGGCGCCTAGCGTTTTTTAAATCACTGCTAATAGTTAACTTACATTATCTAACGAAGTATAACTATAATAATATGCATGCATGTTTTTGGTTTTGAAGTGATGCGTAATACATATGATGATCTTTAATTTAGAGGGATATATATATATATATATATATATATATATGGTCTGTAGTACCGAACTGTACCGCCCGGTACGGGCGGTACGTACCGGTCTGACAGGTTGCCGGTATGCGGATCGTCTGTTACCGGTCCGAGTGCACTGTAGCAGTGCTACAGTACTCGGCACACCTGAGTATACCGATCGATACACCTGGGTGTACCGCTCGGTATACCGTACCATACCGGTACCGAACCCAGGTCGAAACACCGGTACGGTACGGTATTGCGAACCTTTTGTATATATATATATATATATATATATATGCCTTTGATTTATTTTATTCTATCATTTCTATAATTTATTAATGGTACTTCTCATTCGTTGATTTTCTTGTCAAATTGGAGACTTGGATGTGTGCCAGTTTATGATTCTCGCATCCTTATCTAAGAAATAGTGATGGACATTGTAATCACAACATTTTTTATAAATTTGTAATGCTCACTTGTTTCTTTTAGGATTATGTTTCTCTCTTGGTCTATTGGTGGATTTTGTTTTTATAGATACTAATGGAAGGAGGTTTTTGATCAATCATAACATCCACTAAGCCTAAGGAGGATTTAGGTCTTCATGATTGAGAGATTTCATCAAACCAGGTTTGAATGGCCTTAGATGATTGGTTCCAGTTTTGGAAACAATTTTTTTTGTCTAATCCTCATGTTTGTTAGTTTCAGGTCCAATGTATGTACCAAATTTCAAGTCGATATTCAACTCAACTGGGACACATCACCCTTGAACAGACGTTAACAGTTAATTTTATTGCAAAGATAACAAGTCTTTAGTACGACCATGGACTAAAATCTCAGTCTGGTAGCATTACCTGTCTGTGCCAACGCTTTCAACTTTCAAAGGCAGGAACAGGTCCAGATCACTATGGTGGTGGCCACGTTGCAAGGGCAAACTCGTTGGTGTGGGTGGCATTGACCAACATGAAGGCAGAGATAATAGCACTCTGGCAATGGGGGTAGGTGGTGCCAGCCTTGAGGGAGGCACAAATTGGAGGCGGAGGAGAAGTCAGTGATGAGGCAGATGCCCATGATGGTGGGCAACTGATAGGGGTGGTTGGTGAAACATAAGGACATGAGATCACAAGATGGAGTTGGGGGGCTGAGATCAAGTTGCTGTGGCATGTGTTGTTGGCAGAGCGGGCGAGGCAGCAGCAAGGAAGAGGGGGTCAGCAATAGGCAAAATCAGCTATGAGTGGATTAATTATGCTTGAGGGAAAGATGACAGGTAGGGGGGCCAGATGGGGATGGGATTCAAGGTTATAAGAATTGGCCATTGGTATTAGGTCATACAACTCGGTACCAGCAAGATTATCAAGTGGTATTCTAGTGTGGCCGATTTTTTTTGTGATGTGCACATTTTCATTTCTACTTTTATGTGATATAGTTCAAAAAAGCTGGCTAAGACAATTTCAATATTGTTGCATGAGGCACATAATGATAGAACTATAGAATCATAACAGTATTTTTGGACATTTCAGGAAGTGATTTTTATAAGATAGACACATAACAGGATTTTAGGACATTTCAGGAAGTAATTGATTATAAGATAGAGATTGGAATGATTTTGTGCTCGTGCTCAGCAAAAGAGATTGGGTGCTTCCGTCACTGTTACGCATAACAATATTTGTCCTACAATTTGATGTCTTGAACATTCCGAGCAATTGTGTTCTGGTGATCTTTTAGATCTTGGGAGAGCTGGGGAAGAGAACTTTTGGGTTTGAGCTAGTTCAGATAACCATTAAGGAGATTAGGAATTCCCCCCAAGGATGTTTGAGATAGGATACACTAATAAGAATGGTGGTGCAAAGGATGTTCATTTTAGTCTTGTTCATAGAAGAGTCTTCATATGTGGGAGGAAATGTGAAGTGAGTTTGCACTTCATCTGTCTGGAAACAAGCATTTCATAGTGATGCAGATGAGCATTTCATAGAAGAGTCTTTATATGTGGGTCGTGACAATCGCATTTGGGTTGAGTGGACAGTATTGCGACACAGAAGTTATGCAGACAATAGAAGTTTGGTGGACTTGTTTTTTGTGGTTGTCCATTGTAAGGAGTACCTAGTATGCGCTAGATAGGTAATTGAACTTGTTGTGCAACAAGACTTGTCTCAAAGATGACACAGGAGCATAATGTTGAATATCTGTAGCTCTATTGTATGACATGTCTTTTATGGAATAATAGTTGGGTTTTGGGACATGGAAATGCCATTTAAGGTTTTGTTCTTGGGGTTTGGCTGTGCAAGCTGGTGTTTGTAACCAACGATCGGGCTATTTATTAGATTTTAATCAGTTTTATTAGTTTAGTATTGAGATAAGTTGGTCTACAAGGCAAAGTCATGCAGCTGTGATGATGAGCTGGTCTTGGCATTGGCACCACTTTAATATGGCAATGGGCTCTATGCTGATTCAGATTTCAGGCTGCTGTGGTGGTAGGACACCGATGACCATGCAAAGTGCTGAGACCTTGCCGTCACAGCATCAACTGACCTGGCAGAGTCTTTTTGTATTTTTCATGGTCTGTAATATCCTTTTTAATAAATATCTCAAATGAGTGACTCGGAGATGGATTTGAGGCCCTAAATTCAGCAAGCTGAAAAATAAACAGGTGGAAGAGATTTAACGAACCATCATTCTGTTGTGTGAATTCTTTATAAGCAATGGATCATGTAAACTTAATTCGAAATAATAACTAAATATATTCGTCTTCTCTTAGTTTTGAGTCTTTGACTAGTGATATTGTCCTAAACAAAGTCCAATCCATTGAAATGGTGTTGGGACATCACGTATTCTTTTTGTTGTTGATTTTCTTGTACTAGATCAGTATTTGGATCTAAACATGCTTACAAGTTGGAGATGGCATAGCTCAAGGTTGTCATAACTGTGTGAGTGGTCCTAAGATGATCAGGCTGAAAAATAATGTGTCGAGAAAATAAAATGTTGTATTTCTCATATTTGGAGTTAAATTAAGTATTGTTATTTAATCTACTTCTTATCTATGAATTGATCGAATAAATTGATTAGGATGTGCTACTTAACGGTTGATCATATGTACTAAGTTCTGACCAATAGTTGATATCAATGGTAAATTTCTGTTTGAAACTGAAAAGCAGAGTAAATTATCCACTTTTTCAATTTACTTCTGTCTATGTTAAATGACCAAAAGAGTAGGAACATGTCCTGGTGAATTTTAGCTACAAAAGTGTTGTTTAATCGGTAGTATATGGTAGCATGTGTATTGTTTTTTTTTTCCTTTTCTTTCTTCAATTTAAATTGAAGCTATTTGGTTTGATCTTATTGTTATTTTTATCTGTAGGCACCTGATCAAAAGATTTGGTTTCTGGAAGCTTCCCAGAAGCTGCCCAAGGAGCAGCTACATAGCTTGCATCAGATATTCCTTTGGCAGAAATTGGTAGGAGTGCCTGCCTTGGTTCTATAATTTCAACAGAAAGGTTTAGTTCCATGTGTATGTTTCGATGATGTGCAAAGTTTTGCTCTCAAGGCATGTGAAAGCTAGGTAGCTTTCTGGAGTGAGTGGCTCGATCTGGTAGTGCCAAGCAAGAAGGCAAGACTTTTTGTTTGTTGTCAACAAGAGAGCTCTCTCTCTCTCTC